TTGCCTTCTCTCTTCTCCACCAGCTACCAGAGGTTCACTGACTGTTATAAGCGCTTCTACCAGTTGCAACCTGAGATGACTCAGCGAATCTATGACAAGTTTCTAACACAGTTGCAGGCATCCATCAGGGTGAGTGACAAGAAGCCCAGCAGCTACTGTTTGTTGGCTTGGGTCCTGCCTCCAGACTCTCACCTCCTGGAGGCAGGGACCCTCCCCTCCACTGTCCTCACTCCCTACAGCAGTGGTTTTCAACCTTCCTAATGCCGCGACCCTTTAATACAGTTCTTCATGTTGTGGTGACCCCCAATTTCATTGTTACAAATTGAACATAATTAAAACATAGTGATTAATCACAAAAACAATATGTAATTATATATGTGTTGTCCGATGGTCTTAGGCGACCCCTGTGAAAGGGTCGTTTGACCCCCAAAGGGGTCGCAACCCGAAGGTTGAGAACCACTGCCCTACAGTGTCTTTCGTGCTGCCAGGCTGCAGTGGCAGTTTCCCTCCCTTCACACAGTGCGGGTATCTTAAATGCCCCTCCTGTCACTGTCCTGTATTATAATTGTGTTTATATGCTGTCTGCCCACTAGACCTGTGAGTTCAGTGAGAGCACGTCTGGGTCTTATTCTTTGTTTCTCCAGCACCTGGTGCAATGCCTGGCACAGAGGCAGCATCTAACAAATTGTTGGAACTGCATACTAGAGGGAACACAAAGAAGGACAGAATCCCATCTCTAGAGCAGGGGTGGGCAAACTTTTTGACTCGAGGGCCACAATGGGTTCTTAAACTGGACCAGAGGGCCGGAACAAAAGCATGGATGGAGTGTTTGTGTGAACTAATATAAATTCAAAGTAAACATCATTACATAAAAGGGTACGGTCTTTTTTTTTTTTTTAGTTTTATTCATTTCAAACGGGCCAGATCCGGCCCGCGGGCCGTAGTTTGCCCACGGCTGCTCTAGAGCAACCTGTGGGTCGCGACCCCTTTGGAGGTCGAACGACCCTTTCACTGGGGTCGCCTAAGACCATCGGAAAACACATATATAATTACATATTGTTTTTGTAATTAATCACTGTGCTTTAATTATGTTCAATTTGTAACAATGAAATTGGGGGTCACCACAACATGAGGAAATGTATTAAAGGGCCGCAGCGTTAGGAAGGTTGAGAACCACTGCTCTAGAGAATGAACCGGTCCTGTGGTTACACCTCAGGATGGGCCTCTTAAGCATCCAAGTGTTTGTGGGGATGACGGCAAGGCCTGCAGCGCTCAGATGGGCAGGAGAGAGGCTTGCTGCAGGCTGTTTTTAAATGTTTTCCATTTTATCCTTCCTTTTATTTACTGATTTATTTTAGAGAAAAACATTGATTTGTTTTTCCACTTATTTATATTTTGCATTTATCAACCACAACCTTGGTGTATCAGGATAATGTATAACCAACTGACCTATCCGGCCAGAGCCTATCTTTATTTCCTTAATGTAAAAGTCACATGTAGAAAAACTAGAATGTCTGTGTAAAGAAACAACAGAATTTAGCCCAAATCTTACTAAATGCAGTTAGCAGTTTAGCATATTTCTAATATAAGCTTGTCTAGTATCATTATAGCTCTTTCTTCCTTTCTCTTTAGGAGGAAATCTCTGAAATCAAAGCAGAGGGAAACCTGGAAGCTGTCCTGACTGCCTTGGATACAATTGTGGAAGAAGGCAAAGACCGAAAGGAGCCAGCCTGGTGAGGACCACAGGAGGGCTCACAGAGAAAGGGGCAGCACTTCAGCATCTTGAAGGAGCTTTTTTATTGTTCTTTATCCTCATCCGAGGATATTTTTTCCATTGATTTTTTACAGAGAGGAAGGAAGAGTTAGAAACATCAATAAGAGAAATATTGATCAGCTGCCTTCTGCACACCCCCTACTGGGGATGTGCCCGTAACCAAGGTATATGCCCTTGACCAGAATCAAACCTGGGACCCTTCAGTCCACAGGCCGATGCTGTACCCACTGAGCCAAACCGGTTAGGGCTCCATTGATTTTGAGAGAGAATGGGAGGGAGGGAGGGAGAGGGAGAGAAACATTGATGTGAGAGAGACAATGATTGATTGCCTCCCGCACACACTGGAATCAAACCCATGACTCTTATGTGCCCATGCTGATGCTTAGCCATTGAGCAACATCAGCCAGGGCTTGAGGGAGCTTTTATGATGGACCCATAGGTATGAGACTCTGGGCTCACAAGAGAGGACCCTGTGACAGGGACAGGTGGAGAGGACAGACACCAAACAAGAACTCCCATCAGTGACAAGTATAGCCCCCTCTGGGGAAGAGAGTCCAAGGGCAAGTACATGCTGTCTAGGGGTTTGAGGCGGCTGAGGGAAACCTTCCTGGGAGCTCATTTCGGAATCTGTCTAGCCGTGAGAGGATGGGGGAGTGGAGGAGGCAGAGTTATAGGTTTGGAATCTCTTCATTTGTTCATTCAACCAATTTTAGGGAACATGGACTGTACACCCAGTAGGTGCCAGAGATTCCACAATGAACAGGACACGAAAGACCTGGTTCTCCTGGAGCTGACATCTCAGTGGGCAGCCCTGCTGCCTGGTGTCCTGTGCAGGATAGAGAAGAGGGCCTGGGATAAGGAGTGGAGAGTTGAGGCCACTAAGAGCAGGATGGCCTGAGCGCCTGCCTCCCTCCACCCTCTCCGGCCTGAATAGGATTCCTAGTCCAAGGAAGTAAATATCCTTTTTGTGCTTTCGAATTGTTTTTATGCTTTGTGATCTTAGTACTTAAAAGAATGAAGTTTTATAACTGAAAAAGAAATTTAAAAAGAATCTATAGTGGCTTCCACCCCAGTGCCTATCAGAACTGACCTATCTCCTCATTCTGGGCATCCAGAACCCCCTATAATCTTCCCTTGTTATCGAATACCAGGGCCTCTCCAGATCTGGGCCCATTCTCAGGCAGCCAGTCCATCTGGGAGGACTCATCCTGCCACTACCATCCCCACATCTCCAGCTCAGTCTAGAGTGGGTGCACCATTAGGGCACATGGTCAGCAGCACAGAGGCAAAGGCTGAAAAGTCACCTCTGGCTCTGGAGTGTTCGAGATGGGGGACTGTATGTGGGCAAGAGGAGAGTGTGGGATACTGCTGGGAAGGCTAAGATACAGGGTGTGAGAAGGGGGAGGTAGATTCCTGGGCACCAAAGCTGAGGGACAGGTTAGCATTTCCATCAGGAGTAGTCATGCGACTGGGTCCTAGAAGGTGGGAAGGACCCCAGAAGAGACCTTAAAAGCCAGTCCACTTTGAGATGGGAGGTGGGAACATCACTGATTAGAGCTGAAGAGGAGCCCTCATCCCATGTCCTCCGCCTTCTTACGCTGGGCTCCTTGCCACTCTCCAGGCGCCCTAGTGGGATCCCAGAGAAAGACCTGCGCAGCACCATGGTGCCCTACTTCCTACAGCAGCGGGATGCCCTGCGGCGCCGGGTGCAGAGACAGGAGGCTGAGAATAGGCAGCTAGCAGATGCCGTCCTGGCCGGGCGCAGGCAGGTGGAAGAGCTGCAGCTGCAGGGCCAGGCTCAGTGGCAGGCTTGGCAGGTAAGTGTTTTGGCCCTGCCCTCAGGCACCTGTTCCCCTGCTGCAGCAGAGAAAACAGACCGAGAGAGATCAGAAGATGTGGGGGACACTTTGGGGCCCTTATTGGAGATGGACTCTGCTCTGGGGAGGCCCAGTCTAGGTGGCCAAAGCACCAGCCTGACATAAATGCCTGCTGAGTGTCAGGGGGAGGGAACTCCTTACATGCCCTGCGGGGCCCTAACATGAGCCACAGACCCACATCATTCTCGGGGAACCCAAGCCTGAAGGCAAGAACAGTCGATGGAAAGGATTTGGATGTTTTCCTCTCCCAATTTCCTTCTCTCCCATTGATGGCAGGCTCTACACAGAGGACAGAAGGACCTGGTGGCCATGCTGAGGGAGCCTGAGTAAGGGGGAGATGGCTGGCCCAGGAGCAGAAGGTGGTCAAGAGCCCTGTACAGCTGCAATGTTGCCTAGTCCCTGAGCAATGATGGAATTCGCTGGGGGACGAGGTGTGAGCAGTCCCCACTGCCACTGTGCCTTGGGGAGCCCTCAAGTCACACACACTACCTTCCGATTCCTCCCTGTTTCCTTCTAACTTGAGGATTCTTGGCCAGATCCATGCCGGCCGTCGCCTCCCTCCCACCCCCCACCCCCTCACAAGCCTGCTACTTCCTTACCCCTCCCTAGGACCTGGTTTAGAAATCTGTTTTCAGTCTCCACTGATTGCCCCTTTGCTGGCCAGCTGAAGGCCCATGCCATGTTCCCTCCACATCCGTAAATAAACGTCCTCCCTGCACTGTAATCTGTGCGGTGCTTCCGCTGTCTGGGACACTTGTGGGCCAAGACCCCCTCCGGGGCTCCTGAGTTCTGACCCCTGGAGGCCTCAGCTGGAGTTCACCGAGAGCCTCCAGTCTCAGGTGGGTTGGCAGGGGGGCGTCTGACCTTCACGTGCAGAGGGGCAGTGAAGCTCCTTATCACAGAACCAGGACCCTGGGTTCCTTGAGGCCAGGACAAGCTTTCACAGTGTCACTGACCAACCCAGTCCACTCTCCCTAGGTTTGGGTTAATTCTGACAAAGGAACAGGTGCCTGCGGGCGGGCCAAAGCACTCACCGTGGCCCTCCAAACAGCTGGACGCATAGTCCTCGTTTCTCAGGCTTCGCTCACCCAGGGCCCGCAGAGCATCAGGAGGGGCTCAGCAAGGCAAGATGGGTGCCTCCTCCAAACCAGGGGGCAAGAGGGGGGTCTCACCCTAACTCTCTGGAGAGGCTTGGCTGGTCTGCCTAGGACAGTGATGGCGAACCTATGACACGCGTGTCAGAGGTGACACGCGAACTCATTTTTTTGGTTGATTTTTCTTTGTTAAATGGCATTTAAATATATAAAATATCAAAAATATGTCTTTGTTTTACTATGGTTGCAAATATCAAAAAATTTCTACATGTGACACGGCACCAGAGTTAAGTTAGGGTTTTTCAAAATGCTGACACGCCGAGCTCAAAAGGTTCGCCATCACTGGCCTAGGAGCACTGGGACACTCAGGAAGACATCAGGTGGCCTCTGCTTGCCACCCCTCAAATCAAGCACATGGCTCTTCTCTCCACCTGGAGCTGCAGCATTCAACCATCCAGTTGCCCCCCCATCCCCTTCTACTCAGCCATAGGCCTGGGGCGGGGGGGGGGGGGGCAGTGTGCTGTCAGGTGAGTGAGGTCACCCCCCGCCTCCAGGTTGGGCTGAGGCAGAAGCAGAGCTCGGGGTGGGATGGGGGTTTTCATACGAGGAGCCTGCAAGGGCAGGAAGAGAAGCAGAGGGTCAGGAGCCCAGGGCTCTCCATCTCCCTGCTCCTCAAAGGCCCTGTGAGGGCACAGGGAAGGGGTCCTTACCTTCCACAGGGACCCATCCTTAACCGCACGCCCAGCCCCTCCTGTGTTGGCTTTTGGCTCCTGGCCTTGTGCTACCTGACCATTCTCCTGTCCTGACCCACAGGGCCTGACTAAAGTCTAGCCACCCCCACACCAGGCCTGCCTTTGGCGTCTCGAAGGGTGAATGAGGCCATCACTGGGCACTCCCTCCCTGGGGTTTGGCTCCTGCCCACGGCTGACAGTGGAAATCACAATCATCGAGCGCTGCAGCCAGTTCTGCTCCGATCTATTTTGGACCTCTGGGCCCCTTCCTCTCTGGGTCCCCCCACACCCTCCTGGCCTGTTTAGCTGAGGTTGGGTCTCCAAGAGAGAGTAGGGGCTAGGGGACCTCAGTGGCCCCTTTAGGGAGGGGCAGGGGGCATCCAGAGGCTGGCAGTCTCAGATTACCACCCACCCTCCTCCTCCACTCCAGGGGCCTGCCCAGGCTGCCCTGGTTCCAACCACAACATCCTTTGGGGTTTGGCCTATAGATCTGGGGCGGATGACCCCAAATAGCCCTGGCAGAGTCCCCTGCGACCCGCCTGCCCATGATCGGGCGGCCCACCCTGGCCTCCAGGGCAGGGCCCAGAGTATAAATGGTGCTGGAGGCTGGTGGAAACACCGGAGTCTGAGCAGACCAAAGCCACCTCAGAGACACACCATGAGGGCCCGCATGCTCACCCTGCTGGCCCTGGCCGCAGTCTGCCTCGCTAGCCAGACAGGTGAGTCCCCCACTTTGCCCCAGCCAGTGAGGAGGGGAGCACGCACTCCTCACCCCTCCACTGGCAGTCCCTCTGGCTGTCTAACCCCCTCCTCCAGGAGGGCCGGGGCCATCCATTTGCCCTGCCTCTGTCCTTGTGGAAGGAGAGGAGAGAGAGCAAACTGCCAGAGAGGCAGGGGAGGAGGGGGCTTAGGGGTAAACTGGGGTCCTTTCTTTTGCAGATGCAAAGCCCAGTGGTGCAGAGTCTGACAGAGGAGCAGGTAGGAGGCAGGCCTGATAGGGGCTTTGTGCCACATCACCCAGCTGCCCAGCGGTCCCTCACCCTGGCCCCCTCAGTCCCATTTTCCCCCTTCTACTGGCTCCTCTCTGGCTGTTAAGAAGGCCAGCCTGCTCCCCATCTTATCCCCCCAAACTCTCAGCCACCTGATCCCTGCCCCTCTGCTCCACAGCCTTTGTGTCCAAGCAGGAGGGCAGTGAGGTGGTGAAGAGACTGCGGCGCTACCTGGATCCCGGGCTGGGGTGAGAAAAGGAGTCTGGGAGGACAAGGAGGGCCCTGGTGACGTGGGAGGGGAGGGGGCAGTTTGTGTGGAGGCTGATGCCACTGTGTTGGGCTGTCAGAGCCCCAGCCCCAGCCCCCTACCCAGATCCCCTGGAGCCCAAGAGGGAGGTGTGTGAGCTCAACCCGGACTGCGACGAACTGGCTGACCACATCGGCTTCCAGGAGGCCTACCGGCGCTTCTATGGCATAGCCTAGACTAGAGCCTGCCGCCCTGCAGCCCTGCCGGCGGCCCCCTGCTCTGGCTCCTCTCCAGAACCCCTTCCCCTGCCCTTGCCCTGACCTCCCTGCCCTACAAGTGTGGGGTCACCATCTGCCCAGCAGCGCCAGAATAAACTCCAGAAGAGGAATTGGTGGCGTCTGACTTTATCTATGGAGGGCGGGGGAGGTGCTGGGAGGGTGGGGAGAGGCAGGGGTGTTTCACCTCCTTCAGTCCCAAAAAGTGCTTCCCAGTCAGTTGACTTTATTTATTTGTGTCTGCCTCATTCCAGAAGCACTGAAGGTGGCTTCCTAAAGTCGAACCAGGGTTCCCCCTTTGGCCCAGCACCCTCCCCGCCACCCCAACCCAGTGCACCATCCCTGACCCACCCACATAGACCAGACGCCCCGAGCTGAACATCTTGAGTACACGACTGTGACCAGAACAGACTCGTCACCACAGGCCAAGGGCTGCCAGCGGACAGCACTGCCTGGTTTGGGGGGTGAGGGCAAGAGTGGGCCTCCTGACCTGGTGAACAGCATTCAGGGTAGGCCTAGGTTAGTCATGTTAGTTCTTCCTTGGGCTAAGCAGAGACTTCCAGGAGCACCAGAAATGGGACTAGATGAAAGGGCCCTAACACCTCCCCATCCCAGCCTCTGCCCGGGAAGGGGAGGCTCTCCAGCCTGGACACACACACCTCCCCTCTCAGACCCTCAGCACTTCCCCAGCCCCATCAAGAGCTCGCTCACTGACCCTCCTGCTCTCTGCCAGCCCCACCGGCTCCTCTCCTCTGCCTTTTCTCCTCTGCACTCTCTCAGTCACTTCTGCTTCCAGGCTCCTATGTGCCCCACACCCTTTCAGGTCTGGGTCTGGGCTCCCCCCAGCAACAAGGCCTTACTGTTGTTTGGCGTTAGTACCCCCCTCCGGCGGACCACCCTGCAGCAGGGGGCATGTACTAGGGGCCCGAAATAGGGAGGCTGTGAAGGCAGCAATGATGAGCAGGTTCCCCGCCACTGCCAAGCCCAGCGTGGCCACTGTGCCTGCCAGGCCCAGGGGGGTGGCCTGTGTGGCCAGCCAGGCTTGGCGAGACTCCATATCAGCCAGCACCGCTTCCAGCTGGAAGTGGGTGCCCAGCACTGCACAGATGTGGAAGAGCTGGTGGCTGTGGCCTGCGGGGAAGGTAGGCAGGTCAGGGCACATACCCATTCCCAGGGCTGCCCCAACTCACCCTCTGACCCATGGCAGGTCACCCCATCACCTGGGCCTGCTACTACCCTAAACTTAGGAATAGGAAACCTGATTCCAAGAGTTCCTGGAAGGAGTGAATGAGCAGATATGCATAAAACACGATCCCCAGCATACATACGACTAGTTTTGCTGCTATCGGGGAAGCGGGGGGTGGGCCTGGACTCCGAGGACCCTCCAGTGCACTGTCTCCTGGCTGCATGCGCCATTTACTCAGCTCAGTCTCTGGGTTCTGGGAAGCTGTCTCCCTGGCCCTTTCCTCACCAGGCTGGGCCTGCTCTCACCAATGTAGTCAAAGCGTCCTGGTGCCAGCCGCTCAGGCAGGTGAGAGGCGAAGAGAAAACCAGTGAGCAGCGCGCACAGCAGGTGGTAGCCATGATTGGTGCTGAGCGCCTCTTGCCCACAGCTGTGGCCCCTGCCCCAGCACAGTCCCAGCTGGCAAAGGAAAAGCAGGGCTGAGCAGGAGGGATTGGAGAGAGAACCCACATGTGTCTGGAATCGGGAGGGGGGGGGGGCAGAGCCAGGCTGGGTGCTGGGCCTGGAGGGGAGGCAGCAGGGCTGAGGTGAAATGGAGGGCAGGACCGGAAGGGGCACTGAGAGGACAGGAAAACGGGCCTGACCAGGAGCCCTAAGCCCCCTTACCCGATAGAAGAGTGGGAGGTTGTCAAACAGGAAGGGGTAGGCGAAAGCGCCCGTACGGAGGATCTTACTGAGCCCAGGGCTTTCCAGCTCACGGAACCTGGGAGGCAGGAGGGAAAGGCTGGTCACCATCCTGGGGCTAGGGTGGGAGTCAGAGGGGCAGGAGGCTCTGACCAAGATGGAATGTCAATGCAGCTTAGTGACACATGACCCCTCTGTAAATGACCACATCTGTGAAATGGGTGGGTGGGAGGATAAAGGAAACGGCAGGTATGGTGCTAGCGCACAGGCTCCGACACAGCAATTCTCAATCAATGGTCCCGTGGCTCTTAATGATGTTCAAGAGTGATCCCAGGTGTGAGTGTGCCTGCGGCGCCCGGTCCTGTCCCTCCGCCTCCCGCTTCAACACTGGCCGAGAACCCACCGAGAGTAACAGGAGAGGCCGGTGCACAGGAAGGAATTGAGCGCGGCGGCGGGCACAAAGAGCTGGTGCAGGCGGCCGTGCAGCCAGGAGGCCGGCATGGAGTAGGCGGCGTAGGGGAAGGCGCAGCCTGGGGGACGCAGGGCAGCAGCTGAGGCCCGCAGGGCGTGCTCGGGCGGAATACCGCGCGCCGCCTCTCCCCCCTCCCCCCCACACACACCCCAACTCTGTAGTCCCACCCCTGCCCCCGCCTCCCGCCTCCCGCGGGCTCACCCAGGCTGTAGAGGCTGAGCGCGCCGTAGTCCAGGAAGTAGCAGATGTGCCGCGCGCGGGGCGACATGGAGCTGAAGGTGTGCGCACAGCACGACGCGAAAGGGTAGAGGCAGGTGGGCAACAGGAAAACGAGCAGCGGCCAGTGGTAGGGCTCCGCCCGGAAGCCCGGGCCTCCCGCGAGCACGAGCAGACGCCACAGGAAATACCTGCCGCGGCACGTGCTCAGGGGGCCGCGCAGTCCCGCAACTTCCGCCTTCCGCCCACAGCCGCCCGAGCACCCTCCCCCTGAGCGCAGAGCCCGGGACAGCCGCCCTCACCAGGTGGGCAGGAAGTGAGTCCAGATGTTGACAGTCTCGTTGGTCATCTGGAAGGAGCTGAGGACACAGTCCAAGGCCGAGCTGGTGGGGCGGCGGTAGCCAGACACGATGCCGTCTTCCCAGAACACCTGGGTGGGGGGCGGGGTCACTATGCTGGACCCTCTCTCTCCAGGGGAGAACTTGCAGGATTGAAGAGAAAGCGCTGGGGGTCACCATGACCCCAAAGCCAAGCTAAATCTGACTTCCCTCTCATCACAGGTTCCAATACCCAGAAAGCAGATGAGACAGAAGAGCCGGAAAGGGGACAAGATAGGATGGGAGAGTCGCCGGGCACAGACAGGGTGCTCTGGGGGAGGGGACTCTAAACGAGCCTGCTCCTTAGAGAACAGGAGGGGTCTCCCGCTGGGATGGGAGGGGTAAGAGCTAGCTTGCAGGAGGGACGTCCCCGATCGCGGAGAGAGAACCTCAGTCCCAGCAGTCCCCTGGGGGTAGGAGTTGGCCAGTGTAGCCCCTCACCCGGGGGACCTGGTGGACTTGAAGGAGTTGGGGCAGCTTGAGACTGAGCATGGTGGCCCGCACCTCCACGTTGACCTAGAGACAGAGGGTTGGGGGAGGAAATCAGGTATCTGCCCCCGTCCACAGACTCCTTAGCACCCAGGTCCAGGCTGGGCCTGGTCACTGAGTGCCAGGGTAGCTGGCCTCAAGCGGCTTCCTTCAGGCCAGGAGGCGGGCCCAGCTTCCCTGACCCCTCCCCATCCTAGCCTGGGGGCATTCATTTTCCCCTTAACCCAGCACAAAGTGGAGGGGCCTCCTCCCCAGCTGGAATACTGTCTCGGTAACCCCGACCCCGGGTCCCATCCCCCAGCCCTCCAGTTCCATCTCAGGAGAAGCCTAACTCGTGGAGGTCAGTGCAGAGGCCCCAAGCCACCCACCACCACCAAAAGCCCTTGGCCCAGTGTGCAGGCTGAGCCCCCAGAATTCCTGGAGAGGCCAGATGCCAGGGCAGGGAATTAGGGGGATGCCTGGTTCTTCTCCGAGGACACTTGTGCCCCTGGACATTCAGGGTCTTTGTCCCCGAGCCCCCTGCCCCTCAGCCCCAGACCTGTGCAATGCCTCCGGGTGGCCGTGGCTCTGCTGCCCGCCGGCCTCAGGCCGCCTCTCCCAGGCACATTCCTTGGCACAATTGGTGGGGCTGGGCCAGCTAGGCGGATGGAACCACCCTAGGAGGAGGGAGAAGAGGACACTCCCCCATCTCCCAGGGCCAAAACTTTCCAGCAACTCCACAACCTAACCCCGCCCCTCTTCCTGCCACCAGCCTCACACCACCAATCTGTCCCCCAACAGTGGGGGCTCCCTGCCCCTGACCTAGGGACTGGGCTGGGCACAAGACAGACCTGGTCCCTAGTCCCTGCACCCTGGCTGAGCTTTATGATAGAGGCCTCAAAGGTATTCCTTGCCCAGGAGTAGGATGGGGGTGGTCTGACCCATCCTGAGTGCTGCCCAGTGGCCTGGGGGAGGGGTGGGAAAGCAGGATGCTGGCTGAGCTCTAGCTGCCCTAGGGGTCCTTCCTTTACCATAGGGTTTAAAAGTCTATGTAGTGTGCTGTAGCCTTGGAGATGAGGGAGGGGGCTGGAGCTGGCCCTAATTTCCCAGAATGGTGACAGCCCCAGGTGAGCTTCCTTACCCAGAGCTTGACTGGAGCTCCTAAGCAGGTGGGTCAGCAGGCCCGGGTGCTCCTGCCAGCCAGGCCAACGGGAGGGAGGAGAGTGGCAGGCCGGCAGGCCAGGGGATGGGAGACAAAGGAGCCAGAAAACAATCCCAGCCTTGTCCAGCCTCTGGGAGCAGCGCAGGGTGGCCCAACCCCATTAGCAGGCAGCTCACTGGGCCTTCAACACACAGCCAACCCCTCCAGCCTGACTCAGACCCACTGCGATCAGGACTGGCCGGAACAGCCCTAGCCAGGATGCAGCCAGTGTGGTGCAGGCTCCCAGATCTGGCTGCGCCACCATTCCAGTCCTCCCAGGAGCTGAAGGTGGGCGCTGCCACAGGCCAAGCAGAGAATCCCAAATCCTGGTCTTGGAATCAGAAACCATCTCTCACTCTACTTCATTGCCTCTGAGCACCTGGTGCTGGGCTGACTCCAGAGCAAATGCCTTTAGCAAATGGTTCAACAAGGGATTTGCCAAGCTTACTCCCCAAAGACGCACTTAAGGTACCAGTCCTTGCAGAGGGATAGGGACTGAATCTGGCTTCAAGGTTCATCCCCTGCTCCCTTGAGGAAATCTCCCGATTCATAGGATCCAGCAAACAAGGCCTTCAAAATCCTGTTTTCACCCATCACCCTTACAAAGGCACCAGCTGTTTACAGGATCAAGGAACTTGACAATGTCACTATGTCTGGAGCTTTTGCTGAAATTCCAAACTTCTTGCTTCAATGCATTCATTCACCTTGAAGAAATCTTTCCAAAATGCCATTTTTTAGCACGCCATCTCCCACATCCCAATAAAACTGCAGAAAGGCACCTGGAGACGGGGAGTGGGCTTCAGGGGTCTTTATTAAATGATGCTGTAGCCTCAGTCTGTCAGAGATTGGGAGGGGGGTGACCCTATCTCCCAGGCTGTCCCAGACTTGCTATCTTGGAGGAAGGAGGCAGGATGTCTGCTCTCCTCTGAGAACAGCCCAGGAAGCTAGGCTAGTGCTGGGGTGAGGGAAAGCAGAGCTGAGATCCCCACCCTCAACCCCTGGGGGAGGGGCCAAGGCAATCCTGGCCAGTCACCCACCCACAGCCCCACTCTTGCTGCTCCCTTCACTGTCCTGAGCTATTCATGATCTCTGCTTCCACAGTCACCTCCACATCCCAAGAGCTAGCCCCATGCTCAGCCCCACCAGGCCTTCGGTCCTGGGGAAGGGCGAAGCAGGAAGCCCATCAGGATTAGGGCCCTGACTGGGCAGCTTCAGGAGGCCTCTCCTTTCTCTAGTCAAGGGGGTGGTGGCCTCAGACTGCATCCCCCTCTTCTTACTGGCATCCCACTGTTGCAGCACAGCAACCAAGAGCACAAAGCACGGTGACTGTGGGACTGGTGGGCACAAGAACCCCCACTGGCACACAGGCCAGACTGCCCACAGCTGGTGAGGCCTGCTCCCTGCCCTGGAAGCTAGGCAGAGGGAGAGCAGAAGTGGGGAACTGGGTGTGCAGCCCCAGCAGCACGGGAGGGATGCAAGCCCGGCTCCCCTGCCAGTGCAGCCAGCCCCAGGCCCCTCTTCTTGAAGAGTCCCCAAAGCTCCAGAGCTGCCCAAGCCCCACAAGGGGAAATGAGAACGGGTGGTCTCCGAGGAGGGCAGGGTCTGTGGAAAACCACCCAGATACCTGGTGCTACCTCCTCTTCCCCAGGACTGGAGGGTCCAAACTCCTAGCCCAACCACCCCCCATCTTAGGTGAGGAAGGGCCTCTTCTGCATCCCTTCCCCTCAGAGGTCCAGGAATCACGCCAGTGAAACTCAGACACCCACGCCTGCCACCCGCCTCTGGGGACAGCAGGAGGGTTGAGGCAGGAAGGCTGACTAGGGGCCCACAGGCCTCTCCTGCTCCAAATACTTTCCTCACTTCCTGACATCGTCTTGGCAACAGGGGGTGCCCACCCTCCCAGCTGGCTCCTGGGCCCTCCCTCAGCCTGTGTGCAGCTGGGCTTCCTTCCTGAGTGCGTGCGGGAGTCTGTGGTGGGGTGACTACAGGTGGTGGTCCCAGCAGCCAGAGAGGGCAGGAGAGATCTGGAGTCAGCCCCACTGCAGGGCTTGGGAATCAGTCTCAACCAATCTCCTTCCACTGCTTGTAGAAGTCCAGGACATTCTTGATGTCCACACTGGCATGTGCTGCGGCCTGCAGGGCTGCCTGTGGAGGGGAGCAAGAGAGATGGGTGAGAGTCTGACTCCTGAACTCCGGGACAAGTCGCTGAGGGGAAGGGGTGATGGAAGAGGAAAAGGGCCACCGCCCGGAGGGTCTGAGGAGGAGCCTCGTCCGGTACTTCTCCCCCATTCCAGGCCCCGCTCCTCACCCGCTCACCCACCTGCATAGGGCCCGAGAGCACGCTGGGGCTGTCCAGTGGAAGGCCTGTGATGATGGTCACCATGCCACCTGGGTCCTCCTCACCTGCCCCCTGGGCTAGAGTCAGTTGTTTGCAGCTGTCCAGGATCTTATAGAGGGTCCTGGTGGGGAGGAGAGGAAGGTAGGCCAAGCCCAGGCATTAGCACAGCCTAAACCCCAGGATTTCCAGGGCACAGGGGAAGCTAGGGAGGGGAGGGCACCAGTAGGGAGCAACAGCAACCAGGCAGCCAAGGCAGGAGGAAGCTGGCATTGGAGGATGTGCCATGGGGAGTGGGCAAAGGCGCACTGAGGACATCAAGCCTTAGCATCTCAAGGCCCCAGGGAATCGGGTGCTAGAGCAACTCCTTCCTCCAAGGGGACTGGCAGGAGGCCCAGCGGGTCCTGCCACCTGTGCCCGAGTTCCTTGGCCCTGTCCTCTCCCCCAGGGAGTGGCAGAGGAGCGAAGCAGGCAGGCTACCTGAGGTTCTAGGGGGAGGGGCTGAAACTTTACCAGGCATCTGCATCCTGTCTCTTCAGCTTATGTCGCTCAAAGCTCTTCCCCACCTCTTTCTGGCAGCGAATGTACCTGCGAAGAACACAGGAGAGTGGAGGTGGGGGGCACAGGAGCAAGGGCACTGCACACACAGCCGACCATTGTGGCTCCGGGGCCTAGCTCTCCGGAGCAGGGAGGGGGCACCTCTCTCCCATCACAGGTCTGCTGGGAGCCATTTCGAAGTTTCCTGGCCGCTGGCTCACTTTCTTCCTGATAACATCAATCGCTCGGTCCCTCCCAGTGGGGGGAGTTGGGAGGGGAGAAATAGCAGACGCTTTTCAAGTCAGGGCTTCTGGAGACAAGGTCCAAACAAGCAGGCTTTGTACAGCTTCCTGGCAGATGTGGGGTGGGGTTTGGGGGTGTCAGCTGGCAGGGAGGCCAGAAGGAAAGGCCTGTGTGGGCCGGGCACCTACATGCTGTGGTCTGACCATCGCGGGTCATGGGGAGGTGGGAAGCCCCAGGCGGTCCCAAGGAGGCACTGCCACCCTAGCAACTCTGGTCAGTCCCAACCCTGTAAGCAGGAGAAACGCTTGCAACAGTGCCCACAGCCTGGAGCTGGGGTTTGCTCCCTTCTCCCCAGAGATGCTGATCTCATGTTCGCCCCAGAGGCAAATGGACAGCAGGTCAGTGCTTCCCCCCACAGCTCCTGGCCCCTCTAATCACTATTTCAGCACCTAAGACCTTGACTTGTTAGGTCTTCGGTTTTCCCTCCCCAGCAGTGAGCAAACTGTGCGCAGGGACTGCAAGTGTGTGTTTTATCCACAAGTAACACACAAGCATTTGTTGTCTGGGAGACATACGGGATCAGCACCGGTCCAGTGGGCCTGCACTCACCTGTTTCCTTTTTTAAACTCTGCCTCTAGGTATCGGATCCCATCCCGGGCCCCTGGGTGTTCCTTCTTCAGCAAATCCAGGCCATCAATCACTAGTGGGCAAGGTGGGGGTGGGGAAAGACAA